CCCATATAAAAAGGACGGGGCTGCTCGTCGGAAATTTTGAAAAGAACTCCTAAGAGGTACCAAGATCCTGTTTTGTGGGCGTGGCTTGAAATGTTTTTCTCCTCTAAGAGATACCAATTCTTACATAACACATAATCTCCTGTGATATTCATTCGGCTCAATATCCTAAAAGGTACCGCGAAAGCTCCAGCTGTGGACCTTTTGAGGCTGAACACCCTAAGAGGTACCACCACCCCTTTCTTAACCACTAAAAGGTACGACGAGCACCCCCCGTCTATTTTATATGGGAGTCCCCCCCGGTGCCCTTGTCCTTTTAGTCACAATGTTCGTTTCAAGTCGATTGACACCATGTCATAATTCAGAAGCGTGCACACTTTGTAAATACCTCTGTTCTTTATGTATACCTATATCCCGTTTTATGGGCGTGGCTTGAATTTTTTTTCACCCCTTAGGGGTAACAATTCTAAAACAACACATTTAAAACTGAATGTGCTGAGTTGTGAATTCCCGGTGTAAATGAGACAAAATTAAACATCAGCTGCTTAACAAGAAATGACAAGTTAACCGCAGTGATAAACATGATGATAAAACGCATTGTTGAAAAACAAAAACTATATCTTTTTACAAGTCGTTTCGGAAAAAAATGGGTTGATTGACAAATGTCTCCTGCCATATTTTGTGTCAGCTCAGCTCCCGCTGTGGACCTTTTGAGGCTGAACATCCTAAGAGATACTAAAACCGCGTTTTTAACCCCTAAAAGAGCGTCCCCGTCATTTTTATATGGGAGTTCCCTCGGGGATAGAAGTAGAAAGCCGCTGCGATATGACATGGATATTGATGTTTCCTTTTGCCAAACATTTGGAAACAGATCGAAACANGCGCTCGCAGCCCGATGTGTAATTCAAAACGGACATGATACAGTTTCGCACGTGCCTTCAACTCGAGCTTCTCAATCAATCGTAACGACGTTTTCACTCTGAAATCGCATCAAACGCTTTCCGTGCACACTACGCCGTAGAAATTTGAAAACGCAACAATCACCGGTCATTTGGGATTCGTATTTCAGGAAAGCTCGGGCAGAAATCCCATGTTTGTCGTAACGCCACCGTTTTCAAAAAGCTTCGTTTTCAAAGTGTTTTCCGTCCACTATAAACCTCAAAGCCGGCATTTTCGCGACGGATTCTGACTGTGGACGGTAAGCCTAACCGTAGAAATGAAGCTGCGTTTTCAAACTTGTCCTGCATGGTGTGGACGAGGCCATGATTTGTGACTTCCTTGTATGAAAATGAACAAAATCAAGAAAAGCTGTTGAAACAATCGCCTGTTAGCTCGCGTTCCCATAGTATTTCTCGTTCCCTCGTGTTTCTGTACCTCGATAGAACTGACTGTATATATTTTCTTTTTTTAAAATATTTTATAAGAATACCGAGGCTGAAATTTGCGAAATTTTATTATTACTATTATTATTATTATTCACAATAATATTTTCAGCCTGGGATCAGCAGGAAAAAAAAGAATGTTCAACCTAGGCCGTGAAAACAATGTTCTTATTCAATATTCCACTGCTTAGCCACGTTGTAAACGGGTTACCTTCGTTAAGCCCCTGGCCAAACGATCGCAACATTTCAACACGACATAACCCAAC